GATAGATAGACAGACAGACAGACAGACAGACAGACAGACAGACAGACAGACAGACAGAATAATCAACAACAATAATAATAACAGGGCTCAAGAGGACTTATTCACAACTGATTATGCATAGGGGTTAGAAAGTCTATGATCTGCCAGTTGTCACTGCTGGCTGGGACAGAAGGTAAGGACAGAGTCACTCACTTTTTGTCAGTTATTGGTCTTTCTTCCCTCCTTTTGGTCCACACAATGGAAAATAATAACAACAGTTGCAGGGCTGGTATAGGTTCCTCCTTGTTGATTTTTTAAAAATAATTTTAATTGCTTTAGTATATAGAAAGAAAAAAACATTTAAAAAGAAAAAGAAACAGAAACAGAAGGGGGGATGGAGAAAAATAAAAGAAAATGCTTATATATTTTTCAAATTCTTAAATCATAATATTGGTCAGGATTTCTAATTAATTTATAAAGAGTGAGTTCATAAGTAGAGATCATTTTTTTCAAGCCTATACATCCATCATGCCTTTCCATTATAAAAGGGTAGTCTTTTTGCTATGTCCATGCACAGTCAATTCATAGTTCCCTATATAGTGATAAATTCCAAATGTTTGGTATATAATTGAAAATGACATTTTTATATCTTTAAACTATATTATTCTTTCCAAAGTCATATTAATAAACTTGTGGATATAAACTAAGATTGTATAGGTAGTCCTCATTTAGTGACCAAAATTGGGACTGGCAATTCAGTTGTTAAGTGAAGCAGTCACTAAATGAAACTCCAATTGTGCTTACTTCAGCTTTCCTCTGCTTTACAGACCTGCAAAGGTCGTAAATGTGAGGACTGGTTGCAACATTACTTTTTCATCACTGTTGTAACTGCAAATGGTCACTAAATGAGGCAGGAACTAAACAAGGACTACCTGTATTTTTATATTTATGTATGAAATTTATAAAATGCTTCAAACTTAAGAATTCTGGGCAATGTAAGGAGGTTAGCCAATGCAGCATACAATAAAGTAAAATCAGAATCTATATCATATCTATAGATGTCCTTGCTCTATCACTTTATACTTCTTGAAAATGAAGATGACAGCCAACTTTTTACCCTTCTCTGAACATGGGGAAAAGAAAAAAGAAAAAAAAAAACTACTGAACTCTTTATTCCAAAGTTTAATTGTCAGTATTACATACTGAAAATGTATATTTATTCAAAATACATTTCAATACATATAATCAGTTAATTTTTATAGTACTTCTGGAGTTTTAGATGCATATGAACCAAACTATGAAATCAGAAGTTATTTTAATTGGACATACTACTTTTCCACAATTTCAAGCAATCCAAATTCCTCCAACTGTAACTCAGATTATTTTACAACTTTACATATATATGAATGAAATAGGCCAGTTCACAACTTCTTTTATCTTGGGCATTGTGTAGTTTGGCAGTTTTCACACTCTAAAAATAGAGAGATTTTGGCAAATGAGGAATTAACTACTGATTTGTAAATGAAAAATATTCAAGTGTTCACAATTTATTGTATTCTGTGTTTACATTTTATAGTTAGAAGTGGTATCATTTCAAGTGCTATTATTTCTGTTGACAATTTGGGAACAATATTTATAAGGCTGTATCCAAAACACAAATGAAGCTAGAGTGTAGGGTAAATTAGATTAGGAATAAATTCCATTTGGTGTTGTAATTCATTAAATCTCATTTGGAATCTGCAGAAAAAGGCCATGAAATTAATAAAATAAACAAGTATAGTCTATTAGATTTTCCTAGTTTGAATGCTTCCTTTCACAAAAGAGATGCTAATCAATTGGTAAAAGAATTTTGTATTTATCATTTTAATAATCATCATCATCATATTAATAATAACCAAACTAGGTGAACCAGGAAGCTCAGAAACAGGTCATAAATTTAGTGGATTTCTACATTTATTAAGAAAATATACTGCTTTTCTAAAGTTGGTTTTATTTAGTTATCACACTGATGGATGTGTCCAAATGTATCAGTCTTCCATTATATTCATGAATTCTTTGATAATATTGCCAAAGAAGCTTTATGAATGAACTAGCCCTGGGAGAGGTAACCTTTTAGAGGAAGGATGCAAAATGGCTTCATTAGGAGTTGTGTTTCTTCACAAAATGGCTGCTATGGTTACAGTGACCATATTTTCTTGGAAAAAATAAAGGACAAGCCTCAAACGGAGGCAAACCTGAAAGAGGTTCATAAGGATTATATATATATATACACAAAGGAAAATTCAAGAGCAAAACCAAGAAAATAAATAATTAAATAAAATAAACCTAAAGGACAGCTTTCTGACATAAAGGACTGTCTTTTATAACAAAGGATGTATAACAAAGGATTGTAGCTTTGGTGGACACATTCGGTCTCGAACTCCGAAGTTACCAGAAGATAAACTAATTCCTCAGAAGTCTTTGTGGGCCCAGTGACATTGCAGAAAATAATATGTTGCTACAGTCTGCTGCTTCGTCTTGCAGTGTGCCGTACTCTCTCTCTATTTTTGGAGTGTGGCAATTGCCAAGCTACACAATGCCCAAGTTGACAGAATATGTACATCAGCCCGTTTCATTCATATATGTGAATATATTTCCCTCCCCCTTTTGGTGCCTTTTAGTCAGTGTTGACTCCTGGTGACTGCCTGGACAAGTCCCTGCAGCTTTCTTGGCAAGGTTTTTCAGAAGTGGTTTGCCATTGCCTGCTTCCCAGGGCTGAGAGAGAGCGACTGGCCCAAGGTCACCCAGCTGGCTTTGTGCCTAAGGTGGGACTAGAACTCACGGTTTCCTGGTTTCCAGCCTGATGCCTTAACCACTACACCAGGCTGGCTCTCAGATATACATTAGTAATTAATTATGTTGCTACTTTTTTGAACACAGTAAAAATAATAGTATAGAAGAAACAAAACAAAACAAAAAAAGTCATGAAACTTCCATGCTCTGTTCTTTGTATAGCGTGACGAACTAAAACCAAAAAAAAATAAAGAAATTTGCAATTTAGTCAATATATGTTATAACTTATAACTGGTTATTCTTTGATACGCCATATTTGCTATTTGTAACAGAAAATACTTAACAGAGTTGATTTTATTACATTATGTTTGTCACTGTTTATTTTTAATCAGTTTTTTTTTTATTGAAATGTTGGTAACATACATATTCACCTACAATCCAAATTAAGCTTTTCTGAAAGCAAGTTACCTTGAAACATACAGAAACAAACTATCAGTACCTCCACTGAAAGCACTAAAACTTGAGGTTGTACCATCAGCTCCTGACTTGCTGCTTCAGAGTTTTTAAAGCTGAATGCTCTACAGCTAGGTTTCTTTCTAGAATGGAATAAGTAACTCTCAACCTTTCTCCATTATATGATGTTCTGCATCTGAGACAACATTGTCTGATAATAGAGTATAACGGGATGCATGAAGCACTATTATAACAGAAAATCTTTTCCACCCAGACTAGTCAAATTATCATTAGATTTAATGGCAGCATTATAAGCATAATGACAGATCCTGTAAGAGCTTCTTTCAGGCCATCTGTATCTCGATTGCTGCTAATATATTTTGTTAGAGGAAGAATAAAAGATACCATGCTCAGTGAGCTGTTTAATGTAAAATTATACTTTAAAAATTATCCTAAAATGTAGTTCTAATTTTTAGAACTAATCTAGTTTTTAAGATAATGATAAGCTATTCTACTTGGTATATAGATAGCAGAAAGTCTAATAATTTTGCTTGGCTCATTAATGTCAGTGACCCTTCTCCAAATTTTTCCTAGGACCATTCTAACTCTCTTAAGACAACTAGCTTCTTTTTAGAGATACCCCATTTCTACTCATATATTTTAAGAGTATCATTTGATGTCTCCTTGTTGCTATGAATTCTGAAATACTAATAATAACCTTTTAGTATTACACATAAATAGCAGCAGTTATATCATTAGATGATTTAGCCCTTTCCCTTGTTTGAAAAAAACTGCTGATTTTAATTTATGTTATTTTTCCATCAGCAGTCAACAGTCACCATGTTACACAAATGTAACTGTTCATTTGTTTAAATCAGGGATCCCCAAACTTTTTGGACTGGTGGTGACTTTTTCAAATTCAGAAAGCGTGTTGTAGGCATTAATACAAAATGTCTGCTAAGGTGAAAGATTGCCTGTTCTAAAGCAGCTGCTTATCAGAATACCTTCAAAATAAAGAGGAAATCTGAGCTTCAAAAGCCAGGAGCTGCAATCAGAAAGTCTAACTTTATAGCTCACTATACTTTATTTGAAACTATGCCATATGTGCACAGCTATAATGGGCACGTGCAGCTCATTAAATGAAATTAGAATTGTAATATACCAGTAAGATATCTATATTACCCATGCTGTGGAAAAAGCTTTAAGTGTCTATAAGGAACCAAAGTGACTGAAGACCTGCAACCAAGTTTCTTTATGAGTATACAAAGAATAGTGATCAGTGCACTCCTAGCTAAAAGAACATTCTGCATACATACATAATTATATAAGGGTAGGAGGATACATTATGTCATGAATAATACATTTTCTTAAAATAAAGGGCATACATAGAGATGAGGTGAATGAATGGCCCTTAACTGGGATGATGGTCCCTAGGGGCCATTATGAAATGAATTTGCCAGCCCACATTAGCATAGTAGTAACAAAAATAGTATAAATCAGTGTTTCTCAACCTTGGCAGCCTGATGATATATGGACTTCAACTCCCAGAATTCCCTAGCCAGTTGAAGTCCACACATCTTCAAGTTGCCAAGAATGAGAAACACTGGTATAAACAATCTGCATCTGACTACCCTTTATCATAGCAGTACCTTCTTCATACTTCTCTCCCAGACTCCCAAGAAATACCAAGTCTGGGCCAGGGTCATTGATCTGCTACAACAAAATTATATAAAAGACAAAAGGATACTACAAGTGCATGCAGGCTCACTAAAGGGACTTTTATATATTGGTCATATGAAAGAGCTCTAATACAACTACGAAATACATGTAATAGAATAGGTCACTTTTAATATAAACTACATACGCAAAATATCTTACAGCAACAAGCTGATCTTGTGATACTCTACCTCCTCAAAGAGAATTAACATATTGTTGAATTTGGAAATATTTTAAGTTAATAGGAAATCAACGAGGTCCTAATAAACATTAGTGTATACATTATCAAATACTTAGAGCTGGAAGTGATACGTAAGACCTGCAATCCATGCTGGAAACATATTCAAAAGATGAGGTAAGGACATCAGAAGTATATATGTAGCTATGGGGATGAGGATTCAGGTTAAAATATTGCTTCTTAATTTTAATTCAAGTAAGCAACTAACCTATGCTGATCTCTGCTTATCCAAAAACCAATGGATTGTCATCTCTGATCTACGTTGTTTCTTCTAGCTGATTGTGGAGGTCCATATGATTTGTGGGAACCAAATACTACATTTACTTCAGTGAACTATCCAAACAACTACCCCAATAAGGCATCTTGTAAGTAATATGTCTTCAAAATTTTAGACAAGTTTGTTTAAAAATATGGCATACATGGCCTTTAATAGAATTAATGAGGATCATATTGAGGTCCATCAGAAGCTTTTGACTTCTGCTTCAATAAAGCTTCAATAAAGCTGTAAAAAAAAAGGGGGGGGGAGATTGGTTATACTTTTTTTTTTCCTTATGATTTCCTTAAGGGGGCATATGGTTACTGTAAAAGTCTCAAGAAAAATCACTATGTCTCCTTTCCTGATTCGGTGTTTTAACTGTTGTAACAGCTGGAGCCTGGGAAGGCAGGTCTTGGGCACAATTAGATCCCCATTTTTACCTAACTAGGATTCAGTGATATAGGACAGTTCAGCATATCCACAAACAAATGGTTAATGGGTGTGCTCTTTTTATGCACATGTAAGGCAAAAAGATTCAATGATCTAGCCCCAGGAAGGAGGTAATTGGACCAGAAGGAGAGTCTGTCACAAAATTGTAGGTCCCCCTTCTCCTAAGACAGCCCACCCACTACACATCCAACTACCCATCCCAATGGCAATCACAAACCCACACCTTCCTAGACTCCATAGCATCCTCTGACCTAACCTCAGTAGGAGTAACTACCCCACCCTATTCCATGCAACCCACTGGAATCCCACTCCTGCTTTCTTCATTCTAACATTACAAAAGCCTCTAGTCAACCCCTCTTGGACACCCCTCCCACAATGCTTTACTCCTACTAGGACCTTGTGTTCATCAGGCTTCCTCTGTATTCCTACTGCAGGATATACAGTATTACTTTATTTACTGTTTCTTTCTCGTTTTTAAATATTTTTATTAGAATTTTACCTACAATAAAAGTATAAAAAATGAAAAAGATGTTAGGCAGAATGCAGATATGGCCACATTCTACACCAAAAATACACCCCAGCGTTAGAGAGATTTAAAGAATGCAATGTCCTTATTTTGTTATCCAAAGAAATCCAACCAGAAGTTATAAAACATATCTGGTTGTTTATTGAGAAAAAATAAAAACTACATAAAATACAAGTTTCATGCAAAACATAGAAAAAATCACTTCTTCTCATATATGTGGATCCAAGACTTATCCGATACACAAGTTTAACAAAGTCTCTAGCCAAAACACTCTCAGAGAAGAGGTACACTACTTAATTATTAGTTACTACTACATAACCTATAAAACTGATTATATGATACTAAGCAGTGAGGCATATAATCACCCACAATTTATTGACACTATGC